GAGACGGGGTTTCACCATGTTGACCAGGATGGTCTCGATCTCTTGACCTCGTGATCCACCCGCCTCGGCCTCCCAAAGTGCTGGGATTACAGGCTTGAGCCACCGTGCCCGGCCTTCTAAAAAGTTTTAATGGTATCTAGCACTCTACTACTAAAACTCACACAATCAAGAATACACTAAGATACAGAGCCAAAAGAATGAAAGTCAGTATATTAAAGATAAATCTACAATCTGATGTTTACTGCAGCACTACTCACAATAGCCAAGATTTGGAATGAACCTAAGTGTCCATCAACAGATGAATAGATAAAGAAAATGTGGTACAGGCCAGGCAAAGTGGCTCAGACCTGTAATCCCAGCACTTTGGGAGGCCAAAGAGGGTGGATCACTAGTCATCAGGAGTCTGAGACCAGACTGACCAATGTGGTAAAACCCCATCTCTACTAAAAATACAAAAATTAGCTAGGCATGGTGGTGTGTGCCTGTAATTCCAGCTACTCAGGAGGCTTAAGGCAGGAAAATTGCTTGAACCCAGGAGGCGGAGGTTGCAGTGAGCTGAGATTGCGCCACTGTGCTACAGCCTGGGTGACAGAGCGAGACTCTGTCTCAAAAAAAAAGAAAAGAAAAGAAAAGAAAATATGGTACATATACACAATGGAGAAAAAGAATGAGATCCTGTCAATTGTAACAACATGGATGGAACTGGAGGGCATCATGTTACGTGAAATAAGCCAAGCACAGAAAGACAAAACTTCACAATATTCTAACTCATACGTGGGAGCTAAAAATTAAAACAATTGAACTCATGGAGATATAGAGTGGAATCATGGTTACCAGAGTCTGGGAAGGGTAGTAGCTGGGGGCAGGGAGTAGAGATGGTTAATGGATACAAATATATAGCTAGAAAGAATAACATCTTGTATTTGACAGCACAACCGAGTGACCACAGTCAACAATTAATTGCACATTTAAAAATGACTAAAGGAGTCTAATTGGAATGTTTGTAACACAAAGAAATGACAAATGCTTGAAAAAAAAGAATATTCCATTTACCCTGATATGATTATTATGCATTGTATGCCTATATCAAAAAGTCATATACCCCATAAATATATATACCTATTATGAATCCATAAAAATAAAAATGTTTTTAAAACGGGGTATATTAGGCTATATTTCTAATTTCTAATATATCCTTTTTTGTTGTTTGCAAGAGGATTTCACTCTATCACTCAGGCTGGAGTGCAAAGGCATTATCATAGCTCACTGTAGCCTCTAACACCTGCACTCAAGGGATCCTCCTACCTCAACCTCTTGAGTAACTAAGACTATGGGCACTTACCATCATTCCTGGCTCATTATTTTTTCTTTTTCGGTAGAAGCAGGGTCTCTGTGGCCCAGGCTGGTCTTAAACTCCTGGCCTAAAGCAATCCTCCCACTTTCCAAATTGCTCAAACTTCAGGTGTGAGCCACCAAGCCTGACTCTAATACATATTTTAATAAACTTTACTATCACTTAGTCACAGAAATGTGCAATTCCTTCTGATAACCTACTGGTAGGGCATATATTTAGAGTTGATTTGTGTAGGAGATAATTAATATCTCCTTTATTTTGCATTGGGCACTACAGCATATACTTGCAAGAGGGGTAATCAGGTACAGTGCAAAGGCAGATGCAGTATCAGAAAATACCCCTTGGTGGGTCTAAATTTATATCCACCATGTTCTAACCATTTCTAACAATAAACAGCATGTTTTTATCTATTAACTTATGAATGACTAATATTGACAGATCCTATATTTGTCTATATTTCATGGCAGGTCCATCATGTTGGACCTTGTAGGGCTGTGGCGTATACCAAGATTATAAATTCATTCAGGCTTACATGAAAATAACTTATGCTCAAAGTTATTAAACTATGAATTCAAAGCCATTTTACACTCCAGAATGAGTTTTTGATATTCTGAATCTTGGTAATCATTAGCCCCTCACACTATCTATTGTACTTCAGGATAGTGTTATATTAATCATGACATTGTAGCACTTTATCAATATTTACATGGGCATTATTTTCTTCTTTAACTTCCTCCCAGCACCAAGCATACCCATAGTATATATGTGGATAGAACATAATAAAATTGGTTATAATCAGGTGACCTAAAGATTCATGGGAACCAAAGAAGTATATTTGAATCTTAAAATCATTAATCAGAATAACTTTCTAAATTCTTATACAGGTTGAGTATCCCAAATCCAAAAATCTGAACATTTTGGGCAATGAGATGACACCCAAAGGAAACAAACTATTAGATTTGCGGTGCTTTAACTAGTTGGCTGTGCAAATATTCCAAAATCTGAAAAATCTGAAATCCAAAATACTTCTGGTCCCAAGAGTTTCAGATAGGGGCTACTCAAACCTGTATATAATTTTTCTAAATGTTCAGTCAAATACGATTACGTCTTTAATAAACTATTTCTCTCAAGTACTGAAACGCCCAAAGATATATACAAAAATTACGGTAAATAAATACTTTCCAACATTTAAAGACTTCTGTTTGATCATTATTAATCATCTATTATTCCTTCAAGTCTTCCATTTAAAATAAAAATAACCAGATGTCTTTAGCATGGAACTTTGCAGTGGAGATTTCTATTCTGCTTGGGGAAATTTTATGTCTTGCATTTTAAAATCTCTTTAAAACAAAGCTAAATTGGTCTTCTCTTGATTTCCTTATTTAACTGAAGCAGTCTCTTATACCACAACCACACACAATATTATTTCATTTAGAAGAAATTTAACATTCATTAATAACCAAAAAGTATGCAGTTGTCACCTACCTGTAGTACCGAGATTGTAAATACGTTGAACAAACAGTCTTTGATACATGACTGGCCGACCCAAAGTCTATTACTTTAACCCTGTATGGCTGCCGAACAGGATCCACCAACATAATATTTTCTGGCTTGAGATCAGCATGAATTAAACCAAGACTTTTCAATTTTTTCAGTGCAGTGGCCACTTGTTGAAGAATGGGCCGAATCACTTTTAGTGGCAGGGGACTAAATTTATTTTGTTTCAGAAAGTCATACAAGTTTTGTTCCAGCATCTCAAACACTAAACAAGTATGGTTACGGTGCTGAAAGCATTCATAAGCTCGTACAAAGTTATATTCATCAGCATTTTCAGTACTGAGCCTTGCTAATATGCTCACTTCTATTTGACCTTGACGTGCATAAGAAGGATGATTCTTCAAAATTTTGATTGCTACAATTTCATTTGTCCCTCTTTTCCAGCATTTAACTACCTGACCAAACGTGCCTCGACCAAGAAAATCAAGGACTTCGTAAGTATTTTTCATGGAGCATAAGACTTCATGTTGTACTAACTGATAGTCACCTTCTCCAGTGGTACAATTCTGTTTTGATCCTGTGGTAGTTGTCACAACTGTCACTGGATTTCCCATGTTGGTTTGCAACATTGCAGGAAGTATGGACAATTCATCGACAATCTGCATTGCGCTGCTATGATTATCCAACTCCTCACTCTTGCGCTTCAATCCACATCTCTGGGGGCCTTCTAGGAAATGCAATCTGTTTCGCCACGCCCCAATCTGAGGTGCCTGCACTTGAGCTTGCTGCGTCTGAGCTGCTATGACTTTTGTAGCACCTGCAGTGTTTTTCAACACAACAGCACTTGTCTGCAATGAAAAGTTGTGTCCTCGAGGTCTATTAAATGGTATCTTTGTCTGAAAAGCACTACCCTTTGTGGGAGGATGAGAATTTCCAAAGTCTCTACCATTCACATAGGTCCGTGGATAGTTTCTTTCCTGGAAAACGCAACTGCTTGGCTCTACTTTGAGTTTCTTCACACTACAAAAGGCACTTGACTGAGTTTGATAAACATATGGTGGGTAGACCAAGACTTGTGAGGCCATACCTGCCAAAAAAAAGGGGGGGAGGGAAAGAAGAAATATTAATGTCAACAATTTTTTTTTTTTAATTTTAAATCTCAGGAACAAAATTCTTAATGGTCAAATTCACAATTTGTAAAAAAAAGTAATCAATTTTCGCTAAGATGGTTTTTTTTTCCCCTTGGAGAAGATAACTATCTTTAATATCTCCATTTTAGTTAATTGGTGTTTCAGCTATTCTGGGGATTGCATTAAAAGGCTGAGAATAAAGAATCAAGCGCATTTAATTACTTTACAAATATTTACTGAGAAGCTGAAATGGCCATTATGCCCTAGAAACGATGCCAACCATTTTCCCTCAAAAGTAAAGTACAGATCACTGTAATCCCAGCACTTTGAGAGGCTGAGGCAGTTGGATGGCTTGAGGTCAGGAGTTCGAAACTAGCCTGGCCAACATGGTAAAGAAACCCCAACTCTAATAATAATACAAAAATTAGCTACGCGTGCTGGTGTATGCCTGTGGTCCCAGCTACTTGGGAGGCTGAGGGAGGAGAATCACTTGAACCCAGAAGGCAGAGGTTGCAGTGAGCCAAGATTGCACCACTGCACTTCACCTTGTGAGACAGAGCAAGACTCTGTCTCAAAAAAAAAGTACAGATCCTTCAACTGTACACATTTGACAAAACATTCTAGTACCAAATTAAAACTTATGAACCAATGACAAGCAAAGAAAATACACATTACATAAACATAGTTTATAGCCATATTTCTTAAACCTAAAGCCCAAGAATTGCCTCAGGAAGAAAAAATTACCTATGTCTCCTTTAACAATATATACATAGAGAGAGAGAGAAAGAGAGAGGCAGGGATTTCTTTTTTTNTTTTTTTTTGAGAAGGAGTTTAGCTATTGCTACACAGGCTGGAGTGCAATAGTGCAATCTCAGCTCACTGTAACCTTGGCCTCCTGGGTTCAAGCGATTCTTCTGCCTCAGCCTCCCGAGTAGCTGTGATTACAAGCACCCGCCACCACATTCAGCTAATTTTTGTATTTTTAGTAGAGAGGGAGCGGATTACCTGACCCAAAGTGCTAGGATTATAGGCATGAGCCACCACACCCAGTCTTTTGGCAGGTGTTTTAAATAAAATTAGGGTGCCCATTTCATGAATAGCTGATCCTACATTCTACTTACTAAATATGTTATCCTTTGATCTTAAAAAGCATTATATTACAAAGACAAGTTAATGACTTTCTACCCAGTTATATCTGTGTTCCCATTCTTCTGAATTTGTACTTTATTATATGGATATTCCTTTAAACTTCCTCCAAATATAGTCCTTAGTTCACTCATATATTTTAAATAGATTTAAAATCATTCTAAGGTTCTCAAGGACTGAATGACATTCTATTTATTTTATGCCTGCATCCAAAAAGCATGTAAAGTTACTGAGGGTGAAACAGCCAACATTCTTAACACACAACCATTAAGTATATAATGATTTTATAAACATTATTTGATTCAGATATGACATAGATAAGAAAGGATCCAGTTTTATGATGGCATACTTAATGTTCTACCCTATGACCTTATTTTACCAACTCAGAATTTATAAAATATGAAATCAACCTAGCAACTGCTGACCTGTCTATAGGAACTCAAAACATACATATACAAGAATGAATCCTCAGGACCATAGCTAGAAAAAGTAATAATTACACAGGTTTTCGATCTGCCTTCCGTCTACATGGTCTGCTACAACAATATATAAACACATACATCAAAAGCACCATTTGATAGAATCATCACTTTAAGTAATACTCCGTGTTTTCTACTTGCACAGAATTATCTGGGAGTTTCCCTAATGGTAAAATCCTAATACAAATGATCAGGTATAAAAAGCTGAGAAGCCAGATACAGGAACTTTGCATTATGTTTTCTTAATGTTTTTCTACACATCTACCCTTTCTTCTTTTTTTTTGTTTTGAGACAGGGTCTTGCTCTGTCACCAGGCTGGAGTGCAGTGGTACAATCTCAGCTCACTGCAACTTCTGCCTCCCAGGCTCAAGCGATTCTCCTGCCTCACCCTCCCTAGTAGCTGGAACTACAGGTGTGCACCATCATGCCGGCTAATTTTTTGTATTTTACTAGAGACAGGGTTTCACCATGTTGGCCAGGATGGTCTCAATCTCTTGACCTTGTGATCTGCCCACCTCAGCCTCTAAAAGTGCTGGGATTACGGGTGTGAGCCACGGCACCTGGCCCCCTTTCTTCTTTTCACAAGGTCTCGCCTAGACTGCAGTGCAGTGGCACAATCATACCTCACTGTGGCCTCCAACTCCTGGCTTCAATTGATCCTCCCATTTCAGGCTCCAAAATGCTGGGATTACATGCATGAGCCACTGCACCCTGACTCACATCTACTATTGAACATTATTAAAACTCTCTTAGATTTCAAAGTAAAGTATTATCTTCTTGCTAAAGCCTCTCCAAAAACAAACTCACCCTCCAGACAGAGGTAAGCATTCAATGCTCTCCCAGTAGTTCGTAAATTCTTCTCACTGTATACATCTGTCACATTAGATCTAAAGCAAAGTGCCAAGGATATAGAGTTGGTATTCAATAAATGTTGGTTTGTTGAAATATCTTCATTTTCTACAATTTAAAAATCTGTATTATATTAACTGTATAGTCTCATACTCCTTTAACAAATCACAAACATCAGTTCTTTAACTCAGAATCAACAGATTACCATCACAATCTGTAACGTCCATAATATTAAAAATAAGAGCAACCACCTACTGAGCACTTACTATTCAACAGTTTTAACACTTTATTTACAATATTTTATCTAATCATAGCAGTATCTTTCCAATTTGCTTTTAAGATAACTAAAGTTGGCCAGGCATGGTGGCTCACGCCTGTAATCCAAGCACTTTGGAGGCCAAGGCAGGCAAATCACCTGAGGTCATGAGTTCAAGACCACTCTGACCAACATGGTGAAACCCCGTCTTAAAAAAAAAAAAAAAGAAAGAAAAGAAAAGAAAAGTTGGCCAGGCACAGTGGCTCACGCCTGTAATGCCAGCATTCTGGGAGGCCAAAGAGGAAGGATCACTTGGGGTCAAGAGTTCGGGACCAGCCTGGCCAACATGGTGAAACCCCATCTCTACTAAAAACACAAAAATTAGCCAGGCATGGTGGTATGCATCTGTAATCCTAGCTACTGGAGAGGCTGAGGCAGGAGAATCACTTGAACCCAGGAGGTGGAGGTTGCAGTAAGCCAAGATCGAGCCACTGCACTCCAGCCTGGGCAACAGAGCAAGACTCCATCTCAAAAAAAAAAAAAGAAAGAAAGAAAGAAAAGTAAAGTTTACTAAGACTGGATAACTGGCCCACAGTCACATAGCTAAGGTATGGTAAAAGGAACAAGTAAATGCACCGTCGTTCAGATAAAAGGCACAAATTTATACCTCCTTCAGCTTCCTAAAAATTTTCTTGTGCACAATCTACCACATTCCTAATTTGACTTGGCCCTAATAAATCAGCTACAAATCCTTACTAAACAAATTAAGACTTGATGTTCACTGTGGAGGAGAAAATCATAAATTGAAATTCTGGAGTTCCAAACCATCTCACTGGCATCTACTGACATCTATTCCATATCTTTAATCAGAAGAGATTTCAAAACTATCAATTGATCATTCTTTTAATGAAGCAAAACCACACTGACAACTCCTGCTAAATGTATCAAACTCATCCATTAATGCACTTTTGTGAGGCTTCCAATCTTATCCACAACAGGTTTTTTTTTTATTTTTATTATTATTTTTTCTAATGATGGGGTTTCACCA